CCCATTAATTTCTAACACTTGTAGCTGAATGAAAGTAAGTATATATATATATATATATATCAAGTGTTAAAATAGGAAAAAAAACTTTAGTAACCCGTAGGTACCGGAAATTGAGAGAGAAAAGGCAAGAAAGAAAAGAGAGGAAGAAAAACGTGAGAAGAGAGAAAGGAAAGGAAAGAAAAAGAGGAAGGGAAAAAGGAAAGAAAAAGAGCTAAGAAAACTATAATCAAACCTAAAAGAGGTAAGTAGGTTTCATTTTTTGGCTGATTAATGTCTTAAATTGTTTTGTTTAAGTTATTTTGTTAGTGTTTATTTCATGGGTTGTAATAATTTTCAATAGTTATATGCTTGATGCTTGGGATAAATCTATGTATGGATGCCTTGTTGTGATGATTTATGATGTTATGATTTTTTTAAAAATTTCCAAGTATGTGGTGATGGGTTGGATTGAACTTGGAATAAATTTAAGTGAACTAAAACATGTTTAAAATTAGCTTGGAATGAACTAATAAATTAGTGTTGATAAGGAGTAAATTCTGTCCGAATTTTGGGGTGTATGTTCAAGGATTTTGGATCGATTTCTAGGTGTAACTTAAAGCATAAAAGTTGTTCATATATGTTTCAACTAACTTCCTTTAAACTTTCTTGGTCATTGGATTTGTGTACAAAGTGTTACACCCGATTTAGTATGGATAGCTCTAGATAAACTACTATTAGGCAGATTGTTCCCTAAGTTTCAAAAATTTGTAATTAATTATGTACTTGGTATTTAGACCTAATTTTTGGATATGTTATAAATAAATATGTCTAGTATCTAACATAAAATGAGTAAGATTTAATTATATTCTAAAATTAAAAAATTATTTACTCGATTAGGAATTGCCCGATAATAAACCCTAAAACCAAAAAAATTAGATTTTGACAAAATTAATAGGTTTGGAATAAAATAAATGAGCTTGGACTAAATAAAATGGAATTAAATAGAGTCAATGGACCTAGGATAAAGTTAATGGGCTCGGATTAAAGTAAATGGACTTGGACCTTCTTTTAAATATTAATGAAACTAATGAACAATATTAATGAGCGGAGATTGTGTTCTCGCTGTGGGTATCATGATTGGTATGTGAGCAATGGATAAATTTCGAGTGTGGGTTGGACCATGAGTATGGCATGAGAATGAAAGGTTGGTACCCGAATTTGGTTGAATGTGATTAAATATGTCATCACGTTCATCATGTGCATAGTGGGTGGTTTAAGACAAGTTAATTGATTAGGAAATGGTTTATATATCTAGGTTTGATAACCTAACTGGAATAAATGGATATTAGTAGTCCAAGTACTCTAAGATGTGTGCCTGCACTATTAGACGATGGATTTTCGCCAATAGTAGTTACAACGAGGGATAATTCCGTTATAGCAGAAGATGATCCGAGGATCATCCGGATGAAATCAAGTCTGTGTGCTTGCACCGTTAGACGATGGATTCCCGCTAACAGTAGTTACAACGAGGGATAATTCCGTTGTAGCAGAAGGTGATATGCGGACCACCCGGATGATAAATAGAGTAGATCGGCTAATACCTAGAGTACCCGAGATTAAAATTGATGAGTATGGTGGGAAGTCAAGACAACATTGCATATTATATGCATCACCCCGCTTATCGAGCTTCGGCTCACCATGTTGTTATTTTTTTTATGTCTTGACGAAAAAGGACAAGTTGGTACGGATGTGGTCGGCTCCTCCTAACCGGCTCATATGAGGCACCATATATTAGTTTTTATTTTGTCTCGTAAATTTGGGGTATGGAGTTCGTGAGAAATTGAATATCGCCCGTAATATTTTATTAATGTATTTAATTATGTTATGTAAATTTTATCTTAAGGAGTTATATACGTAATGTACTCGTTAAAGTCCTAAGAATATCATAAGAAAACTACTTAGAGTTTAGGGTATATCAGCGTAACGCGCTTCGTCCAGTACCCTACTTAGGTAGTAGAAATATGACTAGGGCGGGGCGTTACATCAATCACATTGACACATTGTATTCAAATGAAACACGTTTCATACTAATTATAATTATAAGTCTATGGTTTTGGTCATTTTATAAAACATTAAAATTTTTCAAATTTTAATTTTCAAACTATTTAGGCCTTGGGCCTAACTTGGGCCCATAGGCTAGTTAGGCCCAAGGCTAGCATGCCCTAGCTAGCTAGTGTCTAGCACTAGCCAATAGCTATTACCGATCCGGCATGCTCACGTGTGCTTAGCCTAACGTTGGCCGCGTCTCGCACTAGCCTTGGCCGGCTCGGCACATCGCACGCGTCTACCCTCCTCGCTTGGCTAGCTCACGTATGCCCGGCACGCTTGTGCTCGCTTGGTCCGGCATGCGTTTAGCTCATTCTTGGCATACGCGATCCATGTCCGGCCTTATGTATGCTCAATGTGTGTGGCCTCGCCCTAGGGTGCATGTCAAGCCTTGCCCATACCTAGCGCATACTTCGCATGCGCGAGGCACACCCGGTCTTTTATGCACCTAATGAGTGCTTGGCCTTACAATAGGCTTGGTGTACACCCGGTGCATGCCTAGCTCGGCACGCACCTAATGCGTTTCGGCATACCTATTGGCATGCGTACATGAGTGTCAACGTCCAGGTGTTGGCCTAGCACATGCCCACTTTATCTTTGGCTAAAAATAAGTTTTCAAATCATTATGAAATACAAAAAACCTCATCTTTATAATCGAAAGTGACAATCCATATAGTTAATTATAATTAATGTAACATATAATTAAAGATTCAACGAAGCTCTAATACCAATTGAAAGATCTTGCGTCCTATGGAGGTACGAAATAAAATAAAAAAAATTTCCATCCATTTAGTGGTTTCCAAGATCATTTTTTGAATCAACTAATCATATATTAATATGAATATCAATATGGGTGAAAGATTCCTCTTATAGCGCAAAAAGCAGTTAAACCGAAAAGAAACCGTCCAAGTGTCCGGCTTCTATTAATTTTCAACATAAATTAAACACTCATAAAAGAAGCTATAGAAATTATAGAGTGTTAACTCCAATCTTTTTATGTAATTAATTTTTTTCTAAAAATCTATATGGGTAATTTATGTGAACTATTGGCTTTTTAAGGACGAGATGCGGCAACACTTAATTTTGGAGAGAGAAAATGTTTTTCTCTTTTTTCTTTATTACTCGTATGTGTGTTGTGTTCAGCTCACTCTTGTCACCTTTCTCCCTTTTATTTACATAAGGGGGTGGCTTCCTTATTCTTCAAAGATAAGGAGTTACAATATGTGTGAGCATGTTTGATTTTATCCTTGTAAATCTTAAATCTTATCCACTAATGCTTAAGTTTATCTTTCCATCAAAATATCTTATAGACTTTCAAATTAAATTTTATTAACCCAAATTCTATTGGTCTAATTGATTGTCAATTAATTTAGATCATCCAAATGAATTGAGTTAAGTATTTTAGTGAAGCCCATATTAGGAAACAATTTTCAAATTATCCTTAAACCTAAATTAGAAAACTAATTTCCTTTTTAAGTAATTCACTTTCACATTTGGATCCGACTTTCAAATTAGAAAAATGATTCATAAAATAGAAAACTTTTCATTTTAGAAAAAATTTTCATAATAGGAAAATTTTCCAAAACAAGAAAATTTATATTTTCGAAAACCTTTTCCAAAAAAAGAAACTTTCAAAAACTGGACCCTTTTCCAAATCTTTGTTTCTCTTTTATTATGTGAATATCTAAACTTATGTTTATGACTCAATAGGCTCACAGATATGTTAGCAATGTATCAAGAATAAAAGATATTTTTTTTTATCTCTTAATACATAAATCAAGATTGACCTCTAGCAAGGTATCATGACTACCCAATTCTCTAGAATGATTAATTAATCCGTATTTACCTTTCACAAGCATGATTACCATATAATTCGGTTTTCATGTCAATTTATCATAGTATGATCTCAAACTTGATAATATTATTTTCTACACTAAGCATTTACTATTTATTTATTTATTTTTGAATTAAATAATTAAAATAATGTTTTGGCTTAACCATTCAATGATTCAAATTAATATAGTTTTTTATTTTAATATTATTCATTCTTTTATAAATAAACATATAAAAATTAAATTCATATTTTTTTCAAATACCAATATTCTTGTCAATATTAAATAAAAAATTAATTTTTTTCCATACAATCTTATGAAATACTAAAGCTTTTTTTAAAAAAAATATTTAATTTTCTTTTTAGTTAATAATCCATGGATTAACAAAGATAAATCTTTTTTGTATAGAAAAAATTATAAAAAACACAAATAAGAAATAGTTAAATACAAAACTTTTGATTAAAAAATTATAAATGATTTTTTTTTCTTTGATTTCATATATTTTTATAGAAAAAAGACCATCAAACTGAAATGATTTCTCTAAACAATTTTATATATTCTATCTAATCCATATCATAATACGAACAAAAAAACTAGTAATTACTATTTCATATGTGATACGGATACTCAAAATCTTTAATAATTAAATAATAAATAAAGTATGAATATTATTGATCTTGATTCAATAATATTAACATTATACATGTATATGATATTTATAATTTTGTTAACATATATATATATATATATATATATATATATAATGAATAAAATATAAATATTCAAATTACTCACGTGATAAATAATACATAAAGCATAGACATGTGAAACTCATCTATGACCATGGCTATTCATTGTCATCTTTATTAATAAGGATTGCTTCCTTTCTTGAATTTCTCAATTTAAATTTTAGAACCAAATCCAAAAAATTCCTGAGATGTCCCAATTTTCAAGCACATTTCAAAATAGTTTAGTCCAACAATTTATTCATATTTCGAATCCGAGACCTTTGTTCCACTGTAATTGAATCAGTCAAATTTCAATGACCCATTTGTGAGTGAAGGTGATTTGGCAATCTGGGTTATGGGGTTTTTAGGATTTATCAAAGGTTTTAAGAGCTTGTACAGAGCTAGATCAAGAATCAGAGTAGACCCATCATGTCAATACGGTTACTGTCACATTCAATGCAGAACCTTATCAAACCTGAAAGCTGACGACGATTCGATACTTCCGGTTTTGATCGTTGGTGCAGGACCCGTCGGTCTCGTTCTCTCAATTCTTCTTACCAAACTAGGTGAATGGATAATAATCTACAACTTCATGCTCTGCTCTTTTTGTGTTTTTTTTTCAATCGACTTCCTGGCTGTGATAAGCAGCACAGAACAGTGAGTTGTAGAACATACGAAGTTGGTTGTTACGATGGATTGTTTGGCGAAACTTTGTGTGCAAATTAAGTCCATTGTCAATGAAAGGATAGTGTTTGATATGTGGTTTCTGAGAGGTTGTTTTCATTCAAAATCTTTGGGTCAGTTTTTTATTTGTTTTTGTTTTTTTTTTTTTTGTTTTTTTGTTTTTTTTTTTTGAAATGGGATTCTAAATTTCTAAAATATAGAGGGTTCTTGGTTAGTTTACTCGTAGGGAGAATTCTGTTCTGTGTTTTCTTTCATTATTAGTGAATTTTTGTTCTTTGAATACTCAATGTGTGGTCAATGGTGCGAAGCATTTCCTTTTTTTCGTTTTGTTTTTCAGTGTAGCTGGAATCAGTTTTGCAATACGGAATTGCTTGATGGCCTTTTGCAGGGGTAAAATGCTCTGTTTTGGAGAAGAGCAAGTCCTTTTCACTCCATCCCCAGGCGCACTTCATCAACAACCGGTCTATGGAGGTTGGCTTTTTTCGTTGGAATAGACAGTGTGTTGGGTTGTTCAAAAGAATTCAAGATTTATGGCTATGCTTTGGTTCGTAGGTGTTCCGCAAGTTGAATGGCCTTGCAGAGGAGATCCAAATGTCACAACCACCTGTAGATTTATGGAGGAAGTTCATTTATTGTACGTCTCTCACCGGTCCAATTCTTGGGTCGGTGGATCACATGCAACCTCAAGGTCTCACTGATTTTTGCATATACAGTGTTGCCTAGTACTATGAAGCTTTTTAATTTAATCATACTAAAAGGATTGCATAGACTTGAGCAGAGGGCATGTTATCCATCACTCTGTGATGGTTACCATATTTTATAACATCTGCTGGTGTTTTTGGAAGACCCAAGTCATAGGACAGGACTAATGAAGATGATCAATATGCTTTTCATGCCTTTCCTGATTTTTCTCTTAAGATTTAAAGAGATTGATTGTTGTTGTTTGTCACCAGATTTTGAAAAAGTTGTCAGCCCAGTGTCTGTCGCGCACTTCTCTCAGTATAAGTTAATTAGATTACTGTTAAAGAAGCTAGAAGACCTCAACTTCCAAGTTTGTAAACCTGAAGGCCTTAACAATGAGCCCTTCAGCGGTCGGGAATTATTAATGGGCCTTGAGTGTGTAAAGATCAATGCCACTGGTCAATCTGTAACTGTAACTGCTTCTCATCTCAAGGAAGGGAAGTACACAGAGAGAAATATTAGCTGCAATATCCTTGTTGGAACAGATGGTGCAGGAAGTACTGTACGGAAGCTTGCAGGAATAGAACTGAGAGGTGAAAAAGACCTGCAAAAGCTTGTCAGTGTTCATTTTTTAAGCAGAGACCTTGGACAATACTTAATCAATGAGAGACCTGGAATGTTGTTCTTTATCTTCAATACTGAAGCTATTGGTGTCCTTGTTGCTCATGATCTCAAGCAAGGGGAATTCGTATTGCAGGTATACATGCTCTAGTGAATGTTTTAAATACAATTTTGTCAGTTTAAACTGCTTTAATTGCACTAACTTTTTTGTTTATTGTTGTATTTGGTATTATCTCATAGATTCCATTCTATCCACCACAGCAGAGCCTTGACGATTTCAACCCTGAGGTAACTATCATTCGTTTAAGATGGGCTTCTGGATGAGATGTTTTCATCGACCTTCTTAATGTTTTTCTTATTGCAGTCCAAGCATAAAGGCAAGGGTAGTAAAGTTAGTTTGATATTCAGAACTATTTGTTAACAATGTTGATACTGCACAGCTAGAATGATGCTAGGAGATTAGTTTCTGTGGAAATAATATTTAGGGTGTAATTTCGGGGTGCCTCCTTGATGTCAGTAATTCTTTGAAATGCTCGCCTTGTAGACATGCAAAAACCTCATCTTCAAGTTGGTTGGCCAAGAGCTTTCAGACGTTGATGTGATTGATATAAAGCCATGGGTGATGCATGCTGAAGTAGCAGAAAAGTTTTTGAGCTGTGACAATCGAATAATTCTTGCTGGGGATGCTGCTCATCGATTCCCCCTGCTGGTGGTTTTGGTGAGTCTGCTATTTTGTGAAGTAAACAAATTCAAGTTTGTTTTTATGCTGTAGCTTGTGGTAAAAATCGTTCTTAATTGCACTTTCATTGGTTGACAGAAAGTAAAAGAGATCAGCAATCCCTGGCCATAAACTTTTCTCTCCTGACACTAGGATGATTGCAAGGAATTAGTTGTAATAATTTCTGTGATCTACATCTTGCTAATGGTGATCCGGGATTGGTACCTGTCAGATACTTTTTGTGGACGTGCATCAGTTATTGTGCCCTAACATGCACACGATCTATTCTTTGTTGCAGGAATGAATACTGGCATTCAGGATGCTCATAATCTTGCCTGGAAAATAGCTGCTCTTATAAAGGGTATTGCACCATCTTCGATACTTCATACTTATGAAACGGAGCGTAGGCCGGTATTGCTTTTGTCTTTCTACTTCTGTTCCATTATATGTTCATTTAGAACTTGAAGGATCCTTGACCATCATTTTTCATCTCTCTCAGATTGCAATTTTTAATACAGCACTTAGCATCCAAAACTTCAGAGCAGCCATGGCAGTTCCTGCTGCACTTGGTCTTGATCCAGTTGTTGCAAATTCTGGTAACCAGAACAGCTATTACCTTTTTTCATACTTGGCTATTAGCAGTATTGTTCAGTCCTTTTGACGAAAGTAATGAAATATATTTTAATGTGTATTTTACTTTTTATGTGATTGACCTGGTTTCTTTTCCTTTAAAAAAAAATCATGCTCATGGTGACTTGTTGCCCTTTTTTTTTTTTTTTTCATACCATTTTTCTGGTTTTGCAGTGCATCGAACTATTAGTGATGGGGTTGGTTCTGTTTTGCCATCTGGATTACAGCGGGCAATTTTAGATGGAATTTTCACAGTAGGTCGTGCACAGCTTTCGGAATCTCTTCTAAATGAGAAAAACCCACTTGGGTCATCAAGGCTTGCTAAACTAAGGCGTTTATTCGAAGAGGGAAAGAGCCTTCAGCTGCAGTTTCCTGCTGAGGATCTTGGTTTCAGGTATCCCTAGTGAAATTTTAAAGTTGATGTGCATCACAGCTACTTCTGTCTCAACCTTATTGTCTTTAGATGTATTCGAGAATTCCTAAAGTTGACCAAATCAAAAAAATGTCTAGCTTCATCGTGCATTACTAAGTTTTCAACTCTGAATATCCTGCCAATTTTAACGGCAATTAATGGATGTTCATTATTTAATGTTATTGTTCTTTATGGTGAACTTGAAAGATTGATACTTGGATCATCTTGCTTATCCCTTTGGCAGTATATACAGGCAAAAGACTGACAAGCAGTTCTCATTTTTCAAAAACTCGAAATTCTTGATTTCTTGATCTTGTTCCTTTTTCTCAGGAGAAAACATTTTTATTCAGTCAATTCAACAAAGTTCTTTGATACCTGTCTGAGTTTAGGTACCTTGAAGGAGCACTTATTCCTGACAATGATAGTGTGGGTGCTCCAGAACCACCTACTGGTCGTCGGAGGGATTATATCCCTTCTGCAAATCCAGGGTCAAGGCTGCCTCATATGAACGTGCACGTGTTGTCCAATTCTTCGAGTGAGGTATGTGCTTCATTTTGCATAATCTGTATCTTATACTGACACTGGAAATGCAATTTTATATTGGCATCTTAACTTCCTGGATTCTGTCTTTTAGCATGTTTATGTATAGAATTGTAGTTTCCAAAATTAGAAGCTCCCTGTTCTGGTTGCACTCTCAGCAAGAGTAACTTGTAAACCAAAAATAATTTTTTTAGCATCTCTAAGTACCAGCTTGTATTTTCACAAATACATTCAAGTCCCCTTCTTTTTATATGGAAACATGAACGGTTTAAAATATATGTGTGTCTTAGTATGTCAAGTGTTTTTGTAGGCGTGTATTTCTACTCTTGATCTTTTGCCTGAGGACAAAGTTGAGTTTCTACTGATTGTAGCACCACTTGAAAAGTCCTACCATCTTGCTCTTGCTGCATTCAAGGTGGCTGAGGAATTCAAAGTTTCTGCTAAGGTTTGTATACTGTGGCCTGTTGATACTGTTAAAGGAGCCGAAGCTAGGAGTCAGACGGCATTGGCACCTTGGGAGAACTACATAGATGTTGCAGAAGCTAAGAAATCATCAAATTCATTTTCATGGTGGAGCATGTGTCAGATGACCGACAAAGGAGCAATTTTAGTTAGGCCTGATGAACACATTGCTTGGCTCGTGAAGTCCGATCTTGAAGAGGATCCAGTTTCAGAGATGAGAAGGGTTTTTTCTGCAATATTGAAGGTATATAAGCAACCTGCTTAGAAGACATAGGATTTCTGTCCACGTGGTACAAAGTTGTCCACCCGAAAGCACGAGTACACGGATGCTGTATATATTTTCAATTGGAATGCCATATTGAAGAGAGATCGGTTGTATGCAGAATTTGTCATGCCCCCAAAGAGCTCTCAAGAATGCCAGCTCCAGAATTTTGCCGGGTTCGGTGTGAGTATCGGTAGGGATTCTTATGTATAATGTAATAAAACACTATTCTAAACACGAATAGGTGCCAGTCTTAGAAGACAGTTTGTATTATTTTTTCCCTCTTTCAGGCCCTTTCCAGATTGAAAGGTGAGTCCAAGGACAAATAAAGGAGCCAGATGTTTACAGAAATGCTTTTCATGCCTCGGAATTAACAAAGTAGAAATCTGCAGTAGATTCTAAGCTACAAATTGAAATTCTTCTGACACCATTAATGACCAAAGAAATAAATTTCTTGTATTCTTCATAATTAAAACTCATTGGATAAAACTCAGATTTTGAGCAATTTAATTTGCGAGCATATCATCATGCAATTCTTGGTGAAAACAGATAGCTACTCTAAACGTTTCTCTACAAAAAGAAAGTTGACTGGAACTAAGGAAACCCAAGGCCTCTTCTATTCCCACTCCTCACCTTTTCCTTTCTCCTCTCTAATTCTTAACCATAATATCTCTTGCACCGTAATTGAGCATAGCTTCCAATCACTGAACAATTTGATAAAATACTTGTTATTTCTGATACAACTACATAGATACATACAAGTCTAATTCCTGTAAAATTGCACTTGCAATTTGCAATTTGCAATTTGCAAGAATTGTATACTGATAAAAATAATGGGGTGTATTTAACTGACATAATTACAACAGATATTTCAATGCTGCCACTAGAATGAATATAAGGAGAGTTCAATGGAATAGCATCGTGCTGCGTTTGAGACAACATAATCTCAAGTCCTCAACATATGAACTTTTAAGTACCACTTACAATTACAGGTCTTCAAGTTTCTGTCCTATTGAGCGATCTGAACTTTATTATCAGCTATGGTATGTTATATCTCTGATCTCTTCAAGCATCAACTTCGACTAGTTGTCAGGATTGTGATCAAATAGCCAATAACTCCCGTGACAAGACCAAGCAAACCACCAGCAATAACCTATCATAGAAAAGCATTATCAGACATTGGTACATCAACAGCTTTCTGAGCTCTATGGTCCTTCGAAATAAAAAATTCTTAACCAGCAACTCACTACTATTCGCAGATAGGGAAGGAATAGGCCCCAAAGTTCGGAAATAATTCTGAAGGGCTGGTGTTTATTCCCCGAAATCAGAAATCATAGGGAAAAGAGGCATTTCCTTTCTTTACAATTTCAACTGGCATATACAGTTTTGATTCCATTTATGCCAAAGAACTTAGGATTGTTGAAATTTACATGGTGATAGTTATTATTTAAAGGAAGGACTTGATGCATGTTGCGACAATCAACAATTACGACAAGACAACCATATGGGGATAACAGCATCATCTCCTCTACGCAGTACCAAAAATTGATTGACAGGGAATTGCATCAATAAATCATAGGAATCCTCCCCCTAGGCAATTACAAGGAATTTGTCTAATGCAATAATCCATACCTGAGGAGGGGTGTGCCCAAGAAGTTCACGCAGCGGTCTGCTCTCAGCCAGAGGATGTTCAGCAGGGAGTTCGTACACAATTTGATTCAAGACCTGAAGAAATCCAGCTCGAATACGTGAAACAAGGAAACAAAAAGGCAGCATTTCAAATGTGAAAATGCATAGAGAAGCATCAAACCTCTGCTTGGCGTCCAGCCTGTAGTCTTACGCCTGTTGCATCATACATCACCTGCCACCAAAATCCTCAACATCTTTTCACATTATAGACAATATTCATTCATTCACGGTGAGCAAACCATAACGATCAAGAGGAATAAAAATGAAAGAAGGATCATACAACGCATGCTAATATCAATGCAATCGCAAACAATGATCCTCCAAAGCCCTCTTGCAATCCAACGGCCATGGCAAGAGCAGTAACGGTAGCAGAATGGGAGGATGGCATTCCACCAGATCCAACGAGCTGCTTGAGATCCCATCGTCTTTCCCTATACCTGCAAATCTAGGAAAGCTTAAGACTTTCAGGGCAAACTAATCAACGTAAAAACAATGCAAATGCAGGTGCTAGAAAAGGCTCTCTATACAAAGAAATTCCACAATTTTATTTATTTTGATTTTAAGAGCAAAATCTATAGATACAAAGATTCTGTAATTGGGACTCTAAGTCAAGACACTAGCTGAGAGAAATGAAGTTCATTACAAGACTATCGAAAAGTAGTCAGTGCGTACCAGGAGGTGAAGAACTTGATAGATTGGGCAATAGCGAAGGCAAGGAAAGCAGAAATCAGTGGATAATTCGCGAATATTGACGCTGACGACGATGAAGAAGCCACGGAGTTTTGGATCGTCGTCGTCGTCGAGGTGGACGACCCAGACGCCATCTCATCCATCCTTGAATTGATCTCGAAGGATGATGGTTTTTTCTGTTTGCTGGCTGGCGACGAGTCTGGTTTCTCGGAAAGAGAGAAGAGAGTTTGTTTTCTGGTTCAGACAGGACAGGACCTGACGTATTAGAAAGGCTTTGCTTCGTATATTATGGAGTCAATTATATACTAGTCTCTCGAAGTTTTCGAAAAGAAACTGAATAATTCCTTTTATTTTAAACATTAATTAATTAGTCTCTTAAAAAATATTCATCATAATTAATTTAATATTATTTTATTTTAAAAAAATCGTATTTTTTATTTTTATTAATTAAAAAATGAAAAAAAATTATAAATAATGAAAAAGAATAAGTTAATTTAAAAAAAAACATAGGAACTGATTAATTAGTTATTAAAAATATAAAAACTATTTTGTTTTTTTTGAAAAACTAGAGGGACTGATTTATAATTTACTCGTTTCTGATGCTAACAACCAACGGGATTTGTTTTTTTTCCTTCCTTCTTCCTCCTCCTTTCTCTCTCCTGACTTGACCGAATATACCTCGCTTTCTTTCTCTCTCTCTCTCTCACCTTTTCAAGTGGTGTCTCGAATATACCATCAGCAGCAAGATCTAAGACTTGATCCCTTTTTTTCTTTTTCATTTACTATTTATTTTAGTTTTTTTCTTTTTGTTGTTTTTGCTTTTGGAATGTTCTTTCGTGTTCTTTATTTATTTGCACTTTTCTTCGTGCCAGGTAGTTTAATTGAGGATTGTAACACTAATTAGCATTGTCAGTGCGTACAGTAAAAAATAGAAACTTAGAAATTTAGGAGATTTAAGTAATAATAAGTAATGTAACATAAAATTACCATTATATTTAAATTAAATATTTCCCATTGTTGCCTTAATCTACAACCATCCTACTGCTTGCTGCAAATTCCAACAGTCATCATCAATATCGAAATTACAAAAAAAAAAAAAAAAAAACATTAATATCATTTAAATTACAGCTCATATATGAGAAATTTTATAATACACAAAGAATGAATTCAGTGAGCATATATAGTATTTACTCCTTAGGCCACTTTGAGGAGAGAGATAGACACACAAAAATAGAAAGAGAGAATAAAAAAATTTAAGCAGACGTAAAAATCTTCTTATCACTTTTTGTGGATATAGATGTAATTTCTCTTTTTTTATATGTCTATCTCTCTTATCAAAATGGACACAAGGTGTAATCTAGTTATTTTTCGTGTATTATAAAATTTTTGGCTCATAGATGGTCAATATTACCTACTTTGTCACATTTCAATTAATGGGAATCGTTTTGGACATTTATTATCTTCACATAATTGTTTCCTTCCTATGAATTACAACTCTATTTTATAGAAAACGGAAACATACTTTATCCTTTTTCAATAAGGATAGCGGAGTCTCCTTGGGGAGCCCAAGGACAGCGAAACGTGCAAGTTTGACCCAGTCCAGTATCTAACCTGTCACCACTCAACCCCATTGAAGAAACATAGACGACCCAGTTCTCCTATTTTATTTATCGTTACTACTACCACCTTTTCTAGTTTCTCATTTTCTCCTGGTTATTATTGAAGCTTAAACTTGTACCCGTGATGATACGTGTAATGGAAAAAAAAAATAAACAAACAAAGAGAAATGAACTGTCCTTATGATATGTTTCAATCACTTCACTTCCATTTCAGTTTAACTTGTATGTCCCCTCACACCATCCTCTTGCGTGCACAAAACTACTCGACGAAAGGTTTTGTTGACTCGCAATTAACTTGATTTACACTCATTCTTTATTAACTTTAAGCATTATTAACAATCCAGATTATTTGAAGCTTGGACAAAACGTCAATAATCATATCTACACCACCAATTGCCAAAGTTGGCGTCTCTGATTATTTGATCATTGCTATAATGCATCTATGCTAAATATTTTACAATGTAATAGACCAGACAGAAATCATATCAATTTTCCCCTTCCATTACATACCAAAATGTGAAAGGGCAAAAAATAATAATAATTATTATTATTATTATTCACAGAAGGCGAAATATATAAATAAAATACAACCTTCTCAAGTGGGCTTCAACCTAACTGTTACAATCATAAGAGCACCATCTTATTGAGCTGAACTTTACGATAATCATGCAACTGGCTATACACTTGGTCTTTCATCGATCTACTTATGTGGAGTTCGGCATTGCATTTGGTAGATCATAGTGGAGATGCCTGAAGTAGCCAGCAGCCTCTTGCCAGAGTGTATGAAAATGCTTTTGAGTAATGATAAAATACGGGTCCCTTACTTTCTCCTTCGTATATTGCATATATACGCTCACTTATATGGATAAAAAATAGCATGATCATGCTCGGCAGTCACCAACATAACTCTTGTCAGCTTCTGTACAATCCTTTCCCTTTTACAAGTTCCTAGACTTGACCAAACAGAAAAAATTAGATCATGCACAATGTTCACTGTTGTTGATAGTAGACTATTTAAACCAGTTATCAACAAGTCTACGACATTATTGATTTACCACCTTTAAATCTCTCTCTCAAATGATTGACGAACAACACACCTACTCCAATCTGTAAATTGAGAAGAATCTGATTTTGATTCTTCAGTACAAGTAGGACAAACAGAAAAGGGTGAGAGATGAAGAAAGCTTACCTACAACAATTCCATACTCATTGCAATTTGATTCCTAAGGTCATGCCTGACATAAACTGGTTCAAGGATGTATGCCTTTTTGTAATCCAAAGATCCAACCAAGCCACCAGCTATCTGGAAGGAAACAACTGAACAAATGTATTTTGTTATTGAACAAAAACTAAGCTTGAGAAAGCAAAATACTCTGAATAACTAAAGGTATCTCAACATTCTATACCCTTCAGTTCCCTTCAATCTAGTTCCTCTGATCCTTAACATTTAGAGGGCGTCCTTCCCAACAAAATTCATGAGTTCCGCCTTTGCAGCTTCCATGATCACTTGAAAGTCTATCTGCGTATACCTTCCCCTGCAATCAGAGGATAGTGAGCAGCATATTTTCCCTTGATGAAGAAATCCAAACAGCTATCCTGCACTGTAAACTTTTCAGCCAGGGACACATTAGCAAGGAAGTGGGTCAAATGATTTAAAACAGATTAGAAGCTGCACACTCTATCCAAAATTGCTCATCACTCACATTCTTCAAGAGCTACGTGCATTAATCTTTACTTACATAACAGAGGAGAAGAATAAAACTAATACCATACATGAGTAATTATCTGTTAAAATTGCAACTGGCTTTCCCCGACACGTTTAACCTATCAAGGACTGGAAACCCTAGAACACTAATTAATTCATTCCAAATATCTTGTAAAAATTAATGTACAGTAGTTTTAAGATACCAGAAATGAGTTCTAGACCAAGTTGTAGATGGATATGCTGGGCTAGCTATGCCGTGCATTATTCTTGCAATGGCTCGGGGGTAAATTTGGCCTGTAAATTCCCTTGCAGAAACACCTGTACGCCAAGAAATAAGCAGATAATTTAACACTACCAAACATAAGCTGCTTTGAGACAGAATACTAGTACACGTATGGTCTGTACATCCTCACCTTTATATCTGCTCGTAAAAACGGGCTGCACAGAAAAAATGATACTTCAATTAGTATGAAGTGATATATTTGCAAAATACAACATAGAAAAATTAGTGTATAGATTTGCAGAGAGATTGGCTTGCTTTAATTTTCAATATCTAAGAATTATCTAGCTATCAGTGCTATTGAAAGCAATATAGATCCATTCCCACCTGCTTTGTCCCATCTTGTTAGGGATATCATGTCTACCACCATCCTTGAAGTAATCCAGTATCTTTCTTTGCAAACATGGTGTATGTTGGGCACCATGGCAACCTTGCATCTTCTCACACTCATTCACAGCAAAGACGGCAGCATTAAACATTGCATCTAGTTTTTGTACCTGATTTGACATAGACTCGTGTTATATGTAAATCATAAAGAAAAACAAAATACTATAAGAGAATGAAGTATGAGTCAACAAACTGATTGATTAACATGACAACACTTCTATGATTTAATAGCTGTTATGGTTATGGATACTTGTATGGTCCTGACTTAATGAAAATAATTTTGCATCTAAGGACTATGAGAGTTAGTAAAAGTCATCACTTGCAATTCATTGTCGTTGAGAAACATATTAATGACAAACAACAGAAGAGTCAATTACCTTGCAACGTTCAACCTCCAATAACCATTCTGTAAGAATCCTTGAGAGAGAACAAAAGTCCCCAGGGACTTCCACGATTGAATAACAATAGGCTGGATCCTTGACCTCATATGTTATTTCTCCCTTCAACTGGAATAATTTAACAGTCAGGACAAAAGGAGAGTTTCACCATACATAATAAGATTCTGAACTGAACCAAAGAAACCAGCATCTATAATCTTAAATGCAGACTAATTCTGCACAGATATGAAAGTTTCAATTTCTTCACTCAGAAAATTACACAATTCAGAAAATGCTCAAGTAGGATGGCAATGTGGTCATTCAAACTGACAGAACAATATTGTGAATTGTCCAAACAAGCCGCAAGGAAATGAAATTCAATTCCAATCACAAAAATCAACATGCAGTTTTGTGGTTGAGTTTCAGGTTAATTACAACTCTATCTAAAATTCCAGTACTCTGGTGCTATATAAGGCATCTAATCACTGTAAATTATACTTTGCGCAACTATATTCAAAAACAAAAATATCTTATGTGGGTATCACCAACATCCTAGTTTTCTTGCCATAGTGAAAATACAGAAGGTAATATGTGATCCCCTTTGCTCTTACAAAACCTCGCTATCAACATAACATGTTCTCTTTTACCTTTTCTATCTGTTTTCTGATGTTTAAAGCAAACAGTTCTCTCTACATTAATAAAATGGAGGTTCTATTCCAGTCAATCACTATAAACAAGTAACGCAATATGATTTGAGTTTACATTCAAAACCTTTAAATTCTGCAGATGATTTGAAAGGTCAGTGGTTGTAACCCCAATGCTATTTGCCACAGTAGGTATGTCGAATACATATTGACCTTGCTTAGTTTCAGACCTGAAACATCTTGAATCATAACTCAGCACAAAGAGTTACCTAATTGAAAGTAACTGAGTCATCAGAAATCAAGAGAACGACTATACTCACTTTTTTAGAATTGCTGAAACCACAATATCCTTGTCAGCAAGCAATATTGGAGAAGACTGCATTTACACATTTCAAGGATTAATAGATCTAACACGAATACTACAAGATGGTAAATAGTATGTTTGCACAGCATTTTGAATTTTCTTCTACTCCAATCCAATATAGATGAGACTGAATAGATGAAATATCTTGGCCCTCAATTAATTCAATATAAATCTAATGTTTTGAAAACTCCATAAGTTATGTGAGGTTAAAACTTCATCAATCTGATGGACAGTGAATTCATTTGGCTTGTATACTTTCTCAAAGCTAAAAATGGTAGTCTTGAGGACTCAGAGTGCTACAGTTTCAATCATTCCCCCAGCATAACCTGCCAAGCAACTATGATGCTCGAAAAAGGCAATAGCAAGAGGGAAAAAAAACAAATACATGGAATTTAAGTTGCACTTACAACCAACCTTATAGAAATTCAAGGCGCAGGTAACATTTAGCTGTGGAAGTAGATGAATGTATTGCACTTCACCCAACTCCAACTGTGTTAAAAGTGTGAGCATAACCTGTCAAAGTCAAACCAACAGTACAGCATTTCAGGAAACAAAATATACCAGACGAAATTCAGCAAGTGTGTGACCTATTCCTGTTCACAGTAGGGCATTGAGCAAATGTTATAAACATTTTTTAGTGTTGTGCAAATAATTTAACAAGTGATACTGGTAATTCAGCCAAAGAAATGATTCCAACACGTTAAACTGAAATTGTAGAAAAATTATTGCAAGTACAAGGGTGGGACCTCTTCTTTCATATCAAATTTGCGAGATGAAGATTCTTTGTTTATTGAATAAATTTTTCCCTGGGAGTTCAAGTCAGTGGTAAAAACTTGACAGAGGAACTTGTTTACTGCATATTCATCCACTCCGTCACTGAGAACACAAGGTCACAGGTCAAGTCCAGATCTTGCACTTATAAGATAACAGCAACAGAAGATACAGATTATATGTGACCACCTGTGCATAAGACTCCGAAGCTTGAAATAGGTGATATCATCAAAAAAGAGATGGCAATGGGACAATCTTCCATCTCGCCCAGCACGTCCAATCTCCTAAACAAGTGTAAAATTTGTTTCAAAGATGAGTAAACTGTAACATAAAGAACACCTCTTCTAGCAACCAATGTTGGAACCACCTGAACATATTCTTCCAAGCTTTCTGGCAGACTATAATGAATTACCTGAAACATTCAATAAAAAGTTTCAGAACTTGTTTCTATCATTATGGAGCCAAAGGAGATGAATGCGCATGATGATTGGAAATATAGGTCCACCAAGAGCACCCAAACATGTAAACTTTAAGTGCAGAATGGTGTCAGCATAATACTACCTAGGGTGTCAGTAAAACTTCCATAGTCGATCAATTACTACTAGATGTGGCTGAAGAAAATGCAAGGATGAAAAAAGTCTTTGATACCATGTTACAAACTAGACAACATAATCCTCAGTAGTGAAAACAACAGTTCCTTCTGTAAAGAAAAAAAAATCTTTTTTTTCTATTAAGTCATATTTTTGTATGAAGGTAATCTCTCAGACATCTGGAGCAAGGACCAACTGCATATGCTTCCCTATTTGTCCATCATGATTTACTATGTTATCATTATTTGTATGTCCGTTGGATGGTTTACTTCATAAATGCATCAAATATGAGAAAAAGTAACACAAATGCAGAGAAAACACACAAATTAGAGAACAAGTTTTTTCTTCTTACAGCTCCAACATCCCTCTTGTCAAGCCCCATGCCAAAAGCCACAGTCGCAACAACCTTCAATTACAAATACAAGTCAGCAATCATGAAAATGACATGTACCATCAATCTGTATACACTTACAAATATACATATACACAGTGAGAAAGAGAGAGAAAGATTTTCTCACCACTCTAATCTTGTTTGAACAAAACGACTCTTGTATACGGCTGCGATCTTTTGAAGGCATAGAACTATGGTAACTCTAAGTACACATTTAAATCAACTTGTCAGACTTAATAGTTATTATCAAAGACACAGTAACTTGGAGAAATTTATGTGAAGCCCAGCAGACAAATAAAATACGAACCTTTGCTGAGATATTGTTATCGCTTAAGTATCTGCTTATTATATCAGTTTCAGACTGCAAATCAATGACCGATTATTAATGTTGTAAATTATTACCGAAAGCCTAGAACAATGTATACTCAATATAATTGAAAACACACACACACACCTAGACGCAAAATTACAGAGAGAGAGTGAGTTAAATTGTATTAACTGATTACTGAAACCATTCTATGCTCAAAACAATTCCAACTATATTTTATTCCTTTCACAGCAATGCTTGAGTGCACAGTACACTGATGAGGAAATTCGTATATATCGCACGAGAGATAGGCATTTCTAAAGAACTAGGGGAAGACCTCGTCCCCAAGTCAGCAGCAGTATGACTATCCATTTAAGCTGTCAAATTCTTTTTATCATAACAAAACATTAAAATGGAAGCATAAAAAATCTGAAATGTATACAGCTGATTACCTGAAATTTGCAGTATATAATGATGCTTTGAACTTCCTTGTAGGGAGAAGACTTAATTAATGTCAGCAAATCTTTCATTCTGTTAAATTCAAGATAATGGTGGTGGGTAAACTTGAGAAATTGAGTTAAATTTCAAAAATACATAAAATAACCAAAAGGAAAAAGAGTCATTCACACTTGCCTATTTCCACTTAAAGACACTGACAGTTGCATATTGTCCCTCAACTTGGCATTTTGAATGAGATTGGTGGTAGGAATATCTAGAGCAGACATGATAGCATTCAAAGTTGTGGTAGTTGCTGTTGCAGTCATTGCAAGAATGCAGCCAATACTGAGTCTTGTATGAAGTAAAGATGCACGGAGTCTCATATATGAAGGCCGGAAGTTATGTGACCTATTGACATGTTGACAAAATACAACTTATAGGGTAAGCATATTACATAACAGAAACCCCAAGAAAAATGAGAGGCAACATCCCAACTCACCATTCGGAAATACAGTGAGCTTCATCTACCACAAGAAGTGAAATAGGAATAGCTGAGAGAATCGACAAGAATTCTGTATTTAAAAACCTCTCTGGTGAAACAAAAAGCACCTGATATATAACCAAAGAACCCCAGCCTTAGCAATAAGACAAAGGTAAGTAACAGAATACCAAATGGCTATCAAAATTAACCAAAGAAATGAAATCTAATAATAATACGAACATTCACCAACCAAAAAGGATACCTAAATGCCAGTATATCAGTTGGTATTTAATAACCCACCACTCAGATTGCAAAAAAACTTATGAAAATAGCATCCCAAAATTGTTAAAACTGCATTGCATTTAAGACTGTCACTGATCTCACCTTTATCCCCCTTCTTGCAGCAACCTGAGTGTCTCACTAACTTCTTGGGGTGTCTAAAGCAATTAAAGAAGCAGTTCACATTAAACAACCCAGTAAATTTTATACAAGTAATTAAAACAAACACAGAAGAAAGCACCAAAAACACCTGACTGCTGCACAATAGGCCACCTTGAATCACAAGTGGCAGCTGTTTCAACTGATCAATCATCAATGCCACTAAAGGGCTCACCACAAGCGTGACTCCTGCAAAAACCATTGCTGGTATCTGATAACACAGAGATTTACCAGCACCAGTAGGCAAAACAAGCATTGTCGATTTCCCATCTAGCACCATCTTGATTGCCTCCAGCTGCCCTTCTCTAAATGAATCGAATCCATACATCACATTCAACAACCTCATTAAATTCTCATCCAACGCCTCATTTCGCACCTCCAAGACTGCCTTCTCAATCAACTCACACCCTTTCTTCGGTTGCTGTTGCCCAATTTCCGTGACTAAACCTTCCTCGTCGCACACACTCTCCATCTCCACATCGCCTTCACGTTTCAATTTTTGCTTACTTCTCCTATAAAATCCCCTGCTGCTGGATGCATAACTACTTTTCTTTTTCCCTTTTCGGTTCAGAAACTTCCTTTTACCATAATTCAAATTTAGCTTCACAAAATTACCTTCACTGCCGCTGCATTTACGCAATTTCACAGCCGGTAAAGGCGCATTAGCTCCTATTAAATTAGGATGCTTCTTAATGACATTATTCGGTTTGTTTTCCCGTGGAGCCCAATCGGCGGAAACCGGTGGGGCAGTATCATTTTCGGCAGATTCGAAATTTAGGTAGGGTCTTTGGATTTTGGAAAAAGATGTGGATTTTGAGAAGTAGCCGGCGGGAAGGGTTTCAATTAGAGTTGGGCGGTGAAGATTGGAGGAACTACGGATCTGGAAAGGTAAAGTCGAGAAAGGGGGAGGTTGAATTGAGTGTCGTCTAGAGGGGGTTGTGGAGGCTGTTCGGTTGGTTCGGGTGGTGGTTTTCTTTGGGATTTTGAGCTAGAGGAGGAACATTTGAGCCTAATTTTGGATTTGTGAGTGGAGAGCAGAGTTGGTCGTGGTGGTGGAGATGGCGGCGGCGGCGTGGGGATTCTAGGAGGAGTTGAGGAGATGTGGGAGCCGTCGGAGTCTGAATCGGATTCCATTTGGTGAGGAATGAAAAGTGGGATTTGGGAGGGATTGTTGAACTAGAAATGTGACTACTTTATTCATTTGCTGATTTTCCCGCCAAAACTTTTGCGCTTTTATTTAATCTCTTGTAAAATGTCCGAAAATCCTTTTTTTCGTTATACTTTTTTTTTAAGGGTGCATTATACTGTTAATTAAATCTCGATTATCATAATAATATAAAATGAATCGAGAAATTAGTAGGTAAATCGGAAGTTGTGTTGCTCATCTCACAAAACATGTTAGGCGACATCATTAAAAATTGAATAAAAATATATATTATGAATTTTGTTTAAGGAAAAATTTTATGAATAAACTGATAATATAAATAACCAAAAACCTGAAGAAAACTACTTCAATTGTGTATGTTTGTGAATATTTCGTTTTTTTCTTTATATGTAACGGGACTCTAAAAAATCATCCATAAAATTTAACTTTAGTTAAGAGATAAAAATAAAATTTAAGTATATTGAATAATAACTTCAATTAACCAATCAAATGTAAAGTATAAACAATCATATTTTTGTTATTTTAAATGTTTTATTAGATATTTAATAGGTCTAGCATTTTTGTAATTTTAAAGTTTTTTTAAGCATTCTATACATAAATTTTTTGCTCTTTTTTTCTTTAGTCCTTTATTTTTTCAACATTTTTTATTTCGATTCACAATTTAATTTGAATTGCAATCCGGTTTTTGTCTCGCTAAAGAAAAAGGAAACGAAAAGAAAGGTGGAAGAAGAGAGAGATTTATGTATGAATTTTTTAATAAGTTTTTAGAATATTGTTATTTACTCTTAAAAAAAAAACTTGATATAATTTATATGATTGATTCTTTTAATTTTTAAATGATAGTAGAATGGTTATATATATAATCTAAAGATTAAAAGTATTTTTCATATAATTTCTTTCAATTTTTTAGAAAAAATTATAAGAAAAATTTTTAGTTAAGAATCTATGGATTTTAAATTTTCTTACAAGTTTTTAGTTAAAAATCTAGATATAAAAGATAAATCATGTTTTTTAAGCATAAAATTTATGATAAACATAAAGAATAATTAGTTCAACACGTAAATAAAAATAGTTTAATGGTTTCTTTTATCTTCGATTTGATATATTTTGATAGACTTAAAATATAGCACTAACCATCAAACTAAAATTATTTTTTAAAATCTCAAGTATTTGAATAAGTTCCAAATATATATCTTTTTAAAAAAAATGGAGATTTTTTATTATTATGGTGGTGCCACAAACGATCATATGTCATTTATTTCATTTTATTTTATTGTAATGTATTTTACTAAAAATATTGGACTATAGATTTATTAACCTACATGCGGTTAATATTGGTTGGTAAAACAATTGGATGTTAATTTCATTAATGAATCTATTTAAGTTTTATCAACTTGTTACAATATTCAACAAATTAAGGAAAGATGTTATTGACACAATAAATAATGTAACCACACATTTTTTAATGTTCTCGTAACTTAAGAAGACATAGCACTACAAAAATAACACACCTAACTAGTTGTTAGCACTCAAATTTTTACTCATCTATTTTTAAATTCATGAGTTAAAAGAAAATACAAAAAAAAAACAGAGAGAGAGAAAAGAAAAAAGAAAAGCATAATTATTTGAAAAATGATTTGGAGGGTCCAATTAAGAGAAATGGAAAGTTTGGAAACCAAAAAAGACCCAAATAAGGGTGCAATTGAAAAATCCAAAACCTCAAATCCTTAATTAAAAAAGAAATGGTACAATTGAGGGAAATTAAAAGAAGTTGTCCTAATTAATTGCAATTAAGAGATGCCATTGAATTTTAAAAAAAGTCAAATGATACTAAAATCAACAAACATGAAAAGTCAAGGACTCAAATATATGTTTACCCAAAATCCTAATTTTTTTCATATAAATACTCATTTTTTCTCTCATTATAGGGAGCTAGAATCCGTCAAAATAGTCCATTTTCATGATAGCCATTGTTGTCACCATTACGATCCTGTTTTAGAAGCTCTTCTACCATTTTTAGCCTTTTTTCGTTGCTATAACCTTCCAAAATCCAACCACCACTACTTCTACAACTTCCGAGTAGCCTTTAAGCCACCAAAACAATAGCTCTAAGTTGCCAAAATAACGATAAAATCATCAACAAGATACTAGCATAATTAAACAAGCAGCCTACCGCTACTATCCAACCACTCTTTTGCCTTAAAACAGTCCCTCCAATAGCCTCTCTAACCCATCACTATCCATAAATCAAAAGGCATCCAAAATAGCCAACAAAAAGATCTAAAACAACCTCTTAAAACCCGTGATGACCCACTCGGTAGCAGATTAACCTTTAGAGGAAAATTAGGGGATTTCACCTTCTTATAATCTAGAAAAAAAAAACTTCTTAGGATTTGAAGTGGACATATAAGCTTTCTATATTGAGCAAAAATGCAAAAATTCATTTTGTTTTAGGCCGTCGAAGTCAAGTGCAAAATTGAGTCGAAATTCGGATCCCGTGACAATCCGAAATACTACCTAGTCTTTTACCCATATATGGAGTTATATACATTAGATTGCAATGATTCAAAAGTACCCAAAAATAAGACATCCATACCTCCAACATTTATGAAGAGAAAAAGACCAAAAAAAAAAACTCAATCGATCTAAAATTGGTCCGGAAGATATAGCTCCAAACGACCCGTACTCTAAAAGCCACGAAGTCCGAACATTACCTAGTGTTTTGCCCATATTTGGAGTTATACAAATTGGATTATGATGATTCAAAATTACCCGGAAAGGGGACATCCATACCTCTAATAATTATTGGATACAACTACTAAAAGAAACCTTCATCTAATCCAAAATTGGTCCGGAAGATATGGCTCTAAATAGCATGTGCTCTAAAAGCCGCAAACAATGGCTCTTTGACATTCTAACCTAAAAAGGAAACCACTCTAGTGGGACCCACATCAATGATCTTGACAATGGAAAGCTATTCCCCTTCTCTAGTTAATTGAATAATCGGTTCTCATCGGAGATTAAAAAAAAAAGTAAAATTGACCCCAAACGAGACTATATTTGGCAATTTCAACGCCTTTTGACTTATTTTTGGTAACATTAAAAATTTTGAACCCATTTGATATTATTGGTTAAACTCGCCTTATTTTAGAATGCAAAATTATCTTGATTATGTTTTTAATTAATTTAATGTGTGATTAGATGCGACATTATGCATCAAACTCGAAAGGGTAAAAAACCTCAAGCATTTTAAGATGAAATAAGGTTGGTGATCAATGCTCAATGATGGAGCTAAAAGGATTGAAATTGAGATTTAGTTTTAATGATGGATTCGGGATAAATACTAGTCCTTATGTTTGCATCCGAATGCGATGCTTGTGCTTACGTTGTGATGTGGTTGATTTAGTATACTTGTCTATGACGTGCTAAATGTGTAATATTCTTGTCTAATGCATGATTATCCGGCTTTTGTTATAAAAAATGAAGTTGTTGGTAACTTTTCATCTATATGATCAAAGCTACATGTAGCTTCTAAATCATTTTATTTGTTTTTTTTTATTAGAAATTAAGTTGTTGGTGGTCGTCCATCTATGTGGATGAAGCTCGCCTATGACTTTTAAATCATCTTAGTTGCCTATTTATCCGTCAAAGATAAACTTATTGGTAGTTTCCTATCTATGTGGTCGAAGCTATCCGTAACTTTTAAATCTTTTTATTTGCTTTTGGTTTATTCGAAATAAAGTTATCGGTGGCTTCTCACCTATGTGGTGAAGCCGCCGAGTGGCTTTTGAATCGATTTACTTACTTCGATTCATCTAAAATGAAGTCGTCGATGGCTTTTCTATTTATGTGATAAAACCACCAATGATTTCGAAGTCATTTTACATATTTTCTCGCTTACTCGAAATAAAGATGCGGTGGTTTCCCACTCCCGAATCAATTTTATTTAATTTTGAATTACCGAAATGAAGCTATTAGGAGCTTCTCACTTATGTGACGAAGCCATTAACGATTTTGTAATTATTTTATTTATTGTCTACTTGTCTTAAATAAAGGCTGTCAAAAGCTTCTCACTTAGGTGACGAAGTCGTCAATGGCTTCTAAACTAATTATCTACTCTTTACTCGAGCAAAATAAAGTTATCGATAGCTTTCTACTTATGTAATAAAGTTTTTAGTAAATTCTTAAATCCATGACTCGAAGTCATCAACGACTTTCCATTTGTATGAGTGAGATTATTGGTGATTCTCTACTCATGTTAATAAAAGGCTATCAATTTTTAGAAACTCATCTACTTGTTGATATAGGTCATGTTCGCTAAAGATTAAACAAAATTCTAATTTTCCTCACCTTTCCTATTTGAGTATGAGTGTCAACCTCGAATCATCTCAAACATTGAATTACTCTATTATTCTATTTTGATAAAATAGATTTGCTCAAATAAGCATAAAAACATAACATAATAAAATCAGATTTTTGTTTTCACACGCAAACAATACAACCCGTCTCAAGTAGAATAGGATAATAATGATGTTATATCTTCTTTATACATAACCGACCCCTTACCTAGATATCTTTACAACACCAAGTATATTTAAGGTTTTCTAGTCCTTTCTAATTAGTTAGATGGTGACTCCTCGTTCTCACATATCCCTCGTGGGTTCATGTCGATAGAATGACGACTCCATTAGCAACTATGCCATGCTAGGGTTAAGCTTTGAATGTCCGTGCTCATGAATCTTTGGTTGTTTGTTATGCTTCTATGTCTATATATTTTGAATGAATAATTAACCTTTAATTGTTTGCTTGTTTGTTTAAATGTGTATATATATATATATATATAGTGTTTTGCTTTGTAGATTTTTTTCATTTAATTTTTTATCTTTATTTTCCGAGAATGAATATTAGATCATACTCTCACACAATACTATACATATTATCTATCACATACAATTGCCTTTGGATTTTAGGGAGAAATCACTAGTGCCTTAATGGGCTACGCCTCGGGTAACGGTTTTAAAACCTTAATTCTTTTGGAAAGTTGCCACTATTGCAATAGGTAACCAATGGTCTCTACTATTACCACCTTCGTACTTGGTCGACCTCGGTTCTTCGAGTTAAAAAGGACCTCGCCGAGACTTAGATAGATTTTACCCATTCATATAATGACTAGAACTAGACCTTAAAATCATCTTTTCCGTATAAATTCATTAGACAAGTTAGATATATTGAAACCTCGATCGAACAATTGGTTATGAATGTTTTTTGATAGATGATAAGAGGTTTAAGTCCAAATTTATGTAATGTTTGATTATCAAAGAAATTTCATGGCTCTATCAAAATATGCTAAAGGTTATTGATGGAGCACAACTCCATTTTTAAAACCAATTAATAAAAGGGCAATCCATCATGTTAGAGTTTTCTAAGGTTACCGATGAAATTTAAATTCATCTTTAAACCAACTTGAATCAATATAAAAAGATCAAACAATCAACCACTCGAATCCTCTTCCCATCCCCACATGAAGGTTACTCCATATCTAGTATTGAGTGTCTTTATTTATGCTATTATGTTTTGCTATTTTTCCTGTTTATTTAGAGAAAAATAAGTTATCCTGTCAAAATTGTATTTTCCCTTTGAATAATGATTACTCAAGTTAAAACAAGAATGGAGAACAAAGAAAGGGCTCGACTTAAATAGATTCATCCAAAGGAGTTAAATATATTGAAAGAAGTGTCTAGGCTAGCTATTTTATTTGAAAAAAGTCCGCAAATCCATATATAAACTAAAGCACCTTTGAATCAAAGAATAGGTCAATCATCTATAATCCTTGGAGTATTCACTATTATATCAAGTTATACTACCAAAATGGCATCTTTGAGGCCACCCCTCTTTATATCCAACTAGAAAGCTATGAGCACCGCAATCCCTATTATCGTCACTATGCTTGAAGGCACACTTACTTAAGTGCCTCCGAATCAAAGAATGGGTTGGTCATCCGCCATTCTTAGAGCACTCATTATTATGCCAAGTTTTACTACTCAAATGGCATCCTCGGGGCCATCTTTTTCTATGTCCAACCAGAAGGCTATGAGTAGTGCAATCCTTGTTATCACTACTACCCTTAAGGGCACATATAAGTCTATTCATCATAAGATTTCTAGCTTAGCCTTTTCATAACAAAAGGCCCAAAACTTTCAGATCCTTCAATGACTAACGAAGGCCATTAAAGCGAGACCCCTTGACTAAGTCTTTTTCGTAGTAAAAACATAAAACCCTTTTTTGATCATCGAGCATAAAGATATGGTTGGTTAGCTCTAGTACAAGCGGGAGATTATTAGTGTAAGTGCCCAAGATCTAATCTATTTAGATGATTTGATATATTGTATCATTACATTTCAATATTAATGAAGATTTTTTTATTAATTCTTTTTATTTATAATTTAATAGAATTAGATAGAAGTTCATCCGATAAGTATTGCATTAATGATTGATCAATAAATGTGAGACAAACATCAATATACATAAATGATATCATTAAATGTTCCAAGTCATAGCATTATCAAGATTAGAATTTGACAATAGCATTATCAAAATTAGACATTGATAATATACGATAAGACTTACAAGTACCATGCTCTTGTTATAAGAAAGCGAGTAGGAGATCTCACACCGACTAGTGCGGTGATGCCAAAGCAAACACTCGAGTGAATAATGTTAGAGAACATATTACTGGACGTGAATCATCATGAAAACCCATTTGGTATTGTTTATAGGAATCTCATATGAGATGGGTACGGTAGTTCTTTGACTTGAAGTCATCACGGTTATCTTATTAGATGATTGATGTACTTTAACATTCTTTTCGATGGGCTTAGTAAAGAGTTACATGTAAGTGATTCATTAAGCGCATTAAGAATTAAATAAAGATAGGTGGATGACTAAAATAGGACATATCATTTCTTATATACTAAATGAGTTATCACATTGTATTTTGATGAATGTCCGCTTAAGAATCTATGGTCAAAGTGGAAGTATACCAATAAAGAATAGTTGATTTACTTGAGAGTTAAAATATTTGGAGATCGAAAAAAACTTGAGTGATCATAATAAATCGAGTTTGAGATTATACTCGTTATAAATTGACACGAGGACCGAATTGTATGGAAACTATACTCATGAAAGGTTATTGCAAATCTAGTAATCCTTATAGAGAATTGGATGGTCATGATACTTTACTAGCGGCTAATATTAATTTATGTATCAAGAGATAAAAAAATATCTTTTATCTTCTAGATACATTACCAATATATCTAGGAGCCTATTGAGTTACACACATAAGTTTAAACATTCACACGAAAAAAGAGAAGCGAAGATTTTGAAAAGGTTTCCTATTTTAAAAATTTTTTATTTTATTTCGGAATCGGTTTTCTAATTTGAAAGTTAGTTACTTGGAATAAAAATTAGTTTTCTATTTTAGAAACGAGTTTCCTAAAATAGAAATCGGTTTCCTAATTTAGGTTTAATAAAATACAACGGTAACTTAAGAAATTATTTTCTAATATGGGCTTCCCTAAAAACACTCGATCCAATTTATTTGGATGGTCCAAATTAATTGTTGAGTTATTGGGTCAAAAGAGTTTAGACTAAATTGCTTAAGTAAGAGCTTGCAAGGTTTTTAAGTGGATGGATAATCTTGAGCACGAAAGGATAAGGATTAGGGTTTATGAGAATAAGGTCAAACAAGGCCCACACGAGTTATAATTTCTTTTTTGAAAAGGATTTTTTATCGTATGTATGTATGTGTATATATATATATATATATATATATATATATATATATATATATATAAGAGGTAAGAGAGACGCATAACACAACATAAATAAGAAACAAAATAGAAAATTACCTCTCTCCTAAACATTAATCATACTTGCCACCCTTTCTTTATATATTGTGAAACCTTTTAGATTTCTTTGAGAGAAAATTATAGATAATAGAAAAGGTTAGAGTTAGCTCTCTATAATTTCGTCATTTCTTGTATGGGTGTTAAGCTACGTATATTATCAATAGAGACTAGACACTTAGATGATTCTTTTTGTAAATTTGAATTTCGCACTACAAGAGGTAGCTCTTAATCATCTTAATTAATATAGTTGATTGATTCAACATCCGATTTTAGGAACTCTAGATGGAGGAGAGCAAAAATTTTTGTTTATTCTACACTTTCATAAGATACATGATCCTTCGATTGATAGCAAAGCCCATGTTGAATCTTTAATTATATTGATGTTAATTTTGATTAAATATAATAATTATTGATTATTGTATTATAAATGTGATGATTTTGGTATTTTATAAAAATTTAAAATTAATTTTAGGGCTTGTGAGGAGGGCGCTAATGACGCAAACGTTGATCGTTGGCCACGATACGCTCTAAGCCAAGCACCCACGAGCATGCACCGAGCTAGGTGCATGTGAGGTAATATAGATATGCTAATTAAATCTTGAAGTATTTATTAACGCAATGGTAATTATGAGTACGATAGTGATTAGAGGTTTATGTAAAATCAAAGCAATTGAAGTTTATGAGGTAATATAGATGGTTTTTTTTATATATTTATTAAATTATATCATGTGATATAGTATAAATGATCACTCGTGGTTCGATCCATCCTCATGGAGCATTCCATTCGGCTAAATAAGATAAACATGGCCATGGTGGTGGTAGTGGCCACGACCGTAGTCCTGCTTCCAATCTAAGACACATGCCTAACGCTTTTACATCACCGGCATCGGCTCTCATGCCCTCATTTCCTTCCTTACCATAGGAGTCTAATTTTTCTCTATCACCAATATTAGTGCCCCTACCCCCACTGCCTCCTTCATGGGATGATCTTCGAGCGACACAAAGCCAAAAGGTAGAGGTGGTCTTGGTGGTTTCTTTACTTTAGTTGGTAGTTCTAGGATCGATGCTCGATCGAACCATTCATGTCGCGAATGGAAGGCATGTATTATGCACACCAATATAAATAGTATTTTCTTTACTTTACATTTCGTAATTATTTTTAATTATTGGTATATTATTTTATTATAAATTCACTTATCTTTTTATTTATCATATTTGGTAGTTTGAATCCATTCAATCGATTCTCTCGGTAGATCATTGTTATTTTTAGGGAGCGATTGACCTCTTCGAATCTACGTGGAAGTCAATCTCTTAGGAGATAAAGACTTCTAATGGAACGAGTTTAAGATAACATATTAATTATTTATTTATATTATCTTAAAATTATTTCAATAAATCTAACATGAAATGTACTACTATTTATTTTTTTCTTCTTATCGAAGTATTTTATATGGGAGGAAATTATTGACATGTTGGTTAAGATAGCATGGGAGCGCTAAGCACTCAAGTGGTATGTCAACATGTCGACGAGCTAGAAGACAAAATGGACCAAATCTCTGTCTATCTAAGAGTAAGAGTGGGAAGGACGAAGTCGATAACAGGTCATATGTAAATTTTAAACCCATTATAAGCGAAGGTTTAGAATTGCACAAGTGAGATGGGTGGTACCGGTACTAGTCTTAACATACGAGAGGGTTCCATCTTACGGATTGAGCACGCATGGTAAATCTTATTATCCGTTATGTTATAAATTATTTTTTAGTTATTACAATTCATATTATTTATGTCAACTTTATTCGTGTTAAGGAGCGGGATCATGAGCTAAATCCTTATGAGTTATTTGTAGGGACTTACTCGTTGTCGGATGAGTCATCATCGATACATAATCCAAGACAATTAAGGTATGTGTTTTTTTTTTAATTATACATATATCAATTTAATCTAAAAATTAAATTTATTATTTAATATAATAATTTTTTTGTAATTTTGTAGGAGCTAGTGGACTTATTGTGTGAGGCGACTTCTAGCCAAGCATCGAAAGGTTCTTCATCTCCTTTAGACATCGACATAGTCTAGTTATTTCTCGAGACTATAGAAGGGGAGAAGAAGCATAGAGTATACGAATTCAAATTACAAACGCCACTAGTATTATTCCCATTCTAGAGCCATCTCCTCCCCTGCCATATTGCGATCTATAATGGCATATAACGGGATGATGAGCAATACCGATAACATATCTAGGAAAAAATAAAATATGACTTGGGTTCGGCAAATTCGAGAGATTAAGGAGGAGCACTAGGCGGAATACTAACTTCTCTAGAATGAGCTACGAGGGACTTGACAAGAGCAATAGGAGGTGGCACGATGGCATGAGTAATAGATGTAAATGATGTAGCAACTGTTACGAGAGATGCAAATTGTATTCACTGTTGTTCCCTCCTCTTTATCCTCCTCCTACCCAGTGAGTCGCCCTTTCATCCCACACCTAACAACCACTAGATGATGATGATGATCTTTTACTTGTACCCCCTCAATCAAACTAGATCTTCATATTAATTTGACATGAAGGACTTAAGGCCAACAAAGCAAATTTTGAATATACACATTGAACGTGATAAAGAGATAAAAGATTATACTTATCTTAAGAGAAGTACATTCAAGATGGATAAAGCTAAAGTAGTTAACTCTCCTTTTGCAACCGACTTTAAGCTAAACATCCAACATAGTCCTTACTATAGGCAAGGAGAACAAAAAGATATAAAGAGTTCCATATGCTTTTATTGTTGGGAGTTTGATGTATGCAATGGTGTATACAAGGTCGACATTGCTCGTGCTATTGGGGTAGTTAGCAAATTTTTGTCAAATCTAAGAAATGAGCATTAGAATATAGTAAAATGGAGAATGCAATATCTTAGAAGCATAAACAATTTGAAGTCCTCTAATCGTACTAGAAAATCATACATGATTAGCTATATAGATTCAAGCATGACGAGGAGACATTAATTCTTGCAAGTCAACATCTAGTTATTTGATTACTTTTATAGAAGGACCTGTGACTTAGCAATGCGGATTCGCAAAAATGGGTTGCTCTTTTCATTATTGAGGCAAAATTCATTGTAGCAACGGAAGTTTGTAAAGAGTTGCTACGGATGAAGAAATATATTCGGGAACTCGGTTTCAAGCAAGATAGGTATGTGTTGTTTTGTGATAGTCGAGTGTTATCCACCTTGGTAAAAAATTTACATTTCATGCTAGATCAAAGCACATTGATGTTCGATACCATTGGATTACGGATGTTTTGAATTTCAAGTTATTGGAACTTGAGAAAATCTATATCAATGATAATGGCTCCGATATGTTGACTAGAGCATTACCAACGAAGAAAATTGAGGCTTGTCATTCGGTTGCTAGAATGGCAATTACATCCACCTAGTCGTGAGGGGAGATTTATTAGGGGGTTTTCTCCTAGTTGGAGGATGGCCTAAAGTTTGCCTACGTGAGCCTAATCTTTGAGCTCATATAGAGGAGAAATTTTTAATCATTTAAAGGGATTAGGTATTTTCAATCTCTTCTCTTTAATTTTGAGATCATATTAGGGAAGAAAGTAGAGAGAAAAGGAACAAAAAAGGAGAGAGAGCCGCGACTTTAGAGAGAAAGAGGAAATAAAGTTTTAGTATAGATAAGTCATGGAAAATTGAGTTTCTAGGTTCATTAACCATTGGATCGAGCTCAAATTTGATGAACACGTTCGGGAGAGATATACTCATATTATAAACGATTGAGATCTAGTTTTGAGACTTGAAGAATGATATATGATGCTCACGATAGTATTATTTTCTAGTGAAATTTGAACTTGATTTTTTCTCTTTTCTTTGTATATTATCTATTGATGGGGTATGTCAAGGGTATGTAACCTTTAATGTTTATGGTTGATGTATTACTCTAGTTTAATATAGAGAAGACTCCTTGTATTATCCATTATTGTTGATAATGAAAGTTTTTGTGGACTCTAATCCCGTGGTTTTTCTTCTCAAATTGAGGAGGTTTTCCACATAAAATTCGTGTTTTCTTTATATGATTGGTATTCTATTTTTTTCTTCGGATTATTAGTTACTTGTTTAATCTTGAGTATTTATTTGTAGTCCTTATTTAATTGTTCAAGCAAAGATAAAGAGGTTTCGTTATGTTATTTATGTATTTTTGCGTAAAATGCATTATTGTCACTCTTTTTTTACCTCCTTAACCCTCTCTTTTTATCTTTTTTATCTTATTTTTTTTGCATATTTTTTTTATTCATGTTGTTTTACTTCATCAACAAGGGCTAAGTAAGGATTTTGATATTATTGCCTTTTCTACACTTGAGGAAACTTCAAGGGCAATAAGTTTCAAATTTTTATTTTCTTATCAGATCTTGCCATCTGACCTCTTACATTAGCTATTTTTGTATATTAATTTGTTATTATCATTTTTTTTTTTTTGGTTGAATGGTCTGAATGGAAATATGGTTGTAAAAAATCATTTTATGTAGCTGTTGACCAACGTTTTACCTAAGATAAGTGTACCATTTATTTCTGTCAGCTTTATATATCTGCAGGGAGCTCTTTCGCTCCAGCATCAGGTCAGCTCTGAGTTCTGACAAGAGATGATTGTATAATATTTGACTCTGGAGTCCTGGACAAGCACGACAAATTAAATAATTGTAAATCTGGACTAGCTAGGCAATAAAATACCTCTATGACGGAGACTTGTTTCGAATATCAAGTTCTCTAGGTTGAGGACAGCTAATTAATTTTAGCTAGCTAGGGAAACATTTCCAACCAGATCTTTCCATTAAAGTCAAGATATTTTTCCAAAATATCATGCCTGCTGACATAGTCAAACACGAAAGCAATATTCTGAGGCACGATACACTGAAAAAAGACTAGAAAGGAGCAGCTAGCTAACAGCGTAGTCAAGTTGTCTCTTTCATTTTACTATTATTTTACTCTTTGACTGGTTCAATTTGTTTCGTTCAGTCCGTTCTTGCTGAGGGAGGTGTTATCTTTAATTAGAAGCTATGTAGCATCCTTATTCTATACCTTCTGTTGATTACATTACACAATTCCGAATTGAGGAATTATTTGTTAGCTACTCTTGAAAATAGCTAGGTAGCAGGATTATCCACCATGTCTATGCCATTGAGAATTGAGATCACGCTGAGAGAAACCATCAAACCATCCTCTCCAACGCCCCCTGATCTTAGAAGCCTCAAGCTCTCTCTTCTGGATCAGTTCATGCCAATATGTTACATTCCACTTCTACTATTTTACTCCAGGAATGGAAACGACACAGATCACCTTGACAAAGCCACAGAAAGGTCACTTCTACTAAAGTCCTCACTGTCTGAAGCCTTGACTCGTTTTTATCCATTCGCAGGCAGACTTAAAGACAATTCGTCCATCGAGTGTGATGACCATGGGGCTGGATATATTGAGGCTCGAATCCGTTGTATTCTCTCTGACATTCTCAAAACGCCTGACACCAAAGTGCTAGACCAACTCCTGCCTGTAGCGATAAGTGATGCAGCCATGGCCAGGGATAGTCAGTTACTTGTCCAAGTTAATTTCTTTGATTGTGGTGGCGTGGCAATTGGGGTGTGTCTTTCTCACAAGATTGCAGATGCAGCCACGTTAACATCATTCATCAAGTGCTGGGCCGCAACCGCTCTCAGCACAAGTACTGATCAGTTAGTGATCAGTCCAGTGTTCATGGGTGGTGCTATTTTCCCACAAATGGACTTACCAATCCCAATGCTTCCAGTGGATTTGATTCAAGGAGAGTCGGTCACGAAAAGGTTTGTGTTTGATGCCTCCAAAATTACTGCGCTCAAGGCTAAAGCCGCCAGTGAAAGCGTACCAGAGCCAACACGGGTGGAATCGGTGACAGCGTTTATCTGGAAATGTGCAATGAGCGCGTCACGGTCAACCATGGGGGTTCCCAGAAAATCTGCGTTGTCTCTTGGCGTGGATATGCGTAAGAGGCTTGTGCCACCCCTACCAGAATATTACGGTGGGAACTACGTAGGGAGTATATCACCACGGACGGAGGATCACGATGGGTTAGAATTGCAAGGTATAGTGGACCGTATAAGGAAAGATCTTCAAGAATTTGGTAAAATTTGTGCAAAAATAACCGAAGGGGATCGTGCGTCGTTAACAATTTGCAAGATTGTAGAAGAGTTTGGAAAGATGGCGATGAGTAAAGATATTGACTACTATAACTGTACCAGTTGGTGTAAATTTGAACTTTATGATGCTGATTTCGGATGGGGAAAACCAACATGGTTGAGTAATGCTGTTACTACAAGACTAAAAAATATTGTTTGTTTAATCGATACCAGGGATGGCGATGGAATAGAAGCGTGGGTAATCTTGAGTCCAGAAGACATGGCGTTGTTCGGATCTAACAAGGAGCTGCTTGAATTTGCTGCTGAAAATCCTTGTGTATCAGTTTAGTTCGGGTGGAAAAGTACATGTCTGGTACAGTATAGTGGAATAAATCATGGAGTAATATAATTAATTGTAATGTAAGTTTGATTTTTTTTTTTTTAATCCTCTGCTTATAAAATTTTAGAGTAAGGTAATACAGTTTTTCAAGAGTTCTCATTTTAGTTCCTCTAGTCTTTTGAAAAAGTTATTTTAGTCTCTCTCTATCTTTTTTTTTTATTATTATTAAAATAAGCCTTTAATCGGAAGTATTTTTACCTTTGTGCCTCTTATTATTTGAAAAATAACTTTTAACCCCCCCCCCCCCCCCCACCCCCCCCCCTTTTTTTTTTTTTTTGCAATTAGGTCGCTGCATGATGAAAAGGCCCATGTATTAAAAGACTTTTTATAATTGGCTTCCTGTATGATTATGTTTAGTTATACGATTAAATAGTCCCTGCGTGTTTAGCGATGATCTCATTTGCTCAATAGCATCAGGCCGCAACCAGACTTCTCGATCAGTTCTTTTGCGGACACAATTAGCTAGTTTTCTTTTCAATACTCTAATTCACGGAGCTAATTCTTTTCTTCCGCCCGCATGTCGACTAACAACAATGCCAAATGCTAATACAGAGCAGGTGATAATGTTAGAGAAACTTGCAAAACCAAGCATCAAAAAAGGAAAATTGATCATAGAAATTCAATTAGGCATGAGCTGGATTGACATGATTAAGTGTTGTTACTAGCACACAAAAAGAACATAATTAAATTATAAAAATTAACACAATAAATAAATAAATAAATAAATTTATTATAAATAAAATAAAATAAAGAATTGAAACTTTTTATCTTGACCATTAGAAAAATTAATGATTAAAATCACATTATCATATTTCACGGTCTAAAAATGTTCAAATCATCAAAATAATTTTATCATAATTTTTAGGTGATTGGCTCGAGGCATAACCAGGGTTGCTTTCTTGAGACACTACACGTCATCCACAAAATTTCTACGATGCAACGGATAAAGAATATATTGCACATCATCTTAGGGATACAATAAGCTCGATCACCTTGTCGCGTTTTAACAAATTTGCACTATTTGTAAGACTTGAAACTCTAAAAATAATAGTATCATTCTTACCTAAAAAGAATATTAATAAAAATTATATGGCTCTTTTTTTAGTGGGAGGCTAAAGAAAGAAATATGAAAGAAATTTTTTTTTCCAAAGCAAAGCAATAACTAGTTGTTATATGCATTTTCTTCTCAAGTAGAATACATGTGATGCCTTGCAAATGAGAAAAGAAAGCTTTATATAGGCAATAGACTTACATCCGTTAGATGTGATAAATGCATGAATATATAGTACTCTTTAAAACCAAAATGAAAAAACTTTAAAAAACGACAATAAACTTATATCAATTGATTGTTTCGAAACGATCGAGTTACATTTATCTTTTCTTTTCTTTTTTTTAATAAATAATATAATAAATATAGTTTTTTATATTTTACTAAAAAATATTTCAACAATTCCCTACTTATTTTTTAATAAAATATAAGCCATATCTTTTTGGATAAGTAAACGACCATAATACATAATAAGGGTCCCAATGGCTTAAACCCTTAGTATTTCAACAACATTTCTCTCAAGCTAATAGTGAACATTGTCTTAAATTAAGGCTTTTTAAGTGAAACAAATATTGTATTACACATATTATATTCAAGTACTTTGCGACGAGTTTCGAGCCGACACATTAACGACTTTGTGCTTAATCCCGGCTTCTATGAGTTTTCTAGAGAACTAGCCCGATTCTTATAGGACGCGGCTCCACTTTCTTACTCATATAGGTGTATCTATCAAGGATGCTCTTATAGCTCTAACATCTCATTCAAAAAGAACCATAGACCATATTAAAAGTTTCATTTAAAGAAACTTAACCTCTCTTTCGTTATGGATTCATGCACTACACCATAGGGATAGACATATGAGTATTGTAACTCAAATAAATTATGCATGTAATCAAACCACTCTATGCTTGTTCTTCTCCTTAAACGTAGTTCTTGGGATCTCCGAGTCCCTAGGTAGAGTATCCACATAGGTGATTTTATTCATTTATGGGCTTAGTCTAATCCTCCTCGATGTATCATCCAATCCTTTGACTTTAGCTAAAGATTTACTCCCATAATATTCAATACACACTCAAAAGATTAGGTAACTAGCACTTAAATCGGTGCTTAAGACAAGTGGTAGGAATTTTTCATCCTTACTATTTTAGACAAAGCAAACCATTCACTTGTTTTTTTTCCTCATTGGCATCCACTTGATTTTTCATTGGCTTAAACTTTTTAGCCATTTTAAGTTTCACCACACATACATCGACCAATGGTAACTAGGAGTGTGCAAATGGTTTGGTTAAGCGAAAAATCAAATTTACCGAACCAAATTATGCATTTTGGTTTTAAACTTATATTTGTTAAATTTAAAACCAAACCAAAATACTAAAATTATTTCGTTCGATTCGGGTTTTGAAAAAAAAATTTTGGTTTCAACCGAAAATCAAAAAAATTCATCGTATGTTTTATATTTTTTTCCTAAATCGTAATCTAAATACCTAACTCTAAGAGACTCGACGAGCGGTTGTCTTTGCTCACCAAGAAAAACTCTCGATAATTTATGTTTGGCTAGAGAGAAATCAAGAAAGTGAAAAAATAAATGTCGGACTTGGAGAGACCGCAAAGAATGTTTGCAAGTGCGAGAGGCATGTTGGGCCATCCATAACCGGATTCTCCCATTTTCGATTCCTCCGGCGGATCTAAATCTCCTCTCTCGCCCTCCTTAGAGTGCTTAAACACGGTATTTTTTTCAAAATCCAAAACCTATAGATATGACGTATTTCATTTTTAGGAATTTGTTGTTGGTTTGTTAATTAGAATTTGAGCCTATATTCTAGGGTTTTGGATTTGAACATGTTTTCTGGATTTATTATTTTTTTAATTAATTTTTAAGGAGTTGTTAAGAATTGGATTTTTTTATGTTTGATTTTGGTGGATCTGCATGATAGTAAGAGTCTGGGGTACCAATGGAAGTGATGGGTTTGATGCTTGGAGAGTTTGTAGATGAATATACTTGTTCATGTTCAATCGAGCTTTTCATGCGTTCATGCATTTCTTTTATGCGAGTGTTATCCGGATTCCTCGTGTGGATGAAAATAATCACATATAATTTTTTCTAAGCATAAAAAAATAATGCATTGAGTTAGTTTTCATGTTGGATGTCTTTTCCATTTAATTGAAAGCATAATATCCTACGGGATTTGGGACTTGATTATGACTCACTTGTCAAGTATCACCCATGGGCCATTTTATCCCGAAATTTTTAACGAGCTTTCGGAGCGAAGCTCATTTGTAGTAGATCCAACACGGACTTCTACAAGGAACTCAATCTTCGAATTTCAAGCCATAAAGGATCATCATGCATATGAGCAACGAGTTGAAATACTAATCATCGAGCATATAAGCAACAGAGTTGAAATACTATGTTAGAGCTGGTCCTACAATTAGCCATGGTTATAGCTATCGTGAGAGTGATCAAGGCAACCGAGCGGCCATGCTTATAGTTACTGTGAGAGTGATCAAGCTGATCATGTTAATTGAATTCAAAAGAAAAGTGTAAGAATGAAGAAGAATTAGCTTTATATTGTTATTATAATTTTCACCGGATCATAAAAAATGCACGCAACCATAAATCTTTTTGAGGCCTTAAGAAACGTGTCAATTGCACTTATCGATCTTGGCTTCATGCTTGTAACATACTTGGAAGCTAACTTGTAAGCATTTAATCATTGGATTGACTCGATTCGAGCAAATAGTATGCGTCGATGCCTCTTTTGACCTATATCGTAGTGTCGAGTTCCGGATGAGGATAATGCATCGACTCTTTTCCATGAGATCAACGGTTCTTGGATACTTTATGGGAGAACATGATAGAGCGATATTCCTATCGTCATGTGATGTGAACCTTCCCGCCAATACGGAGTTAGGAGGACCCTTACGAGATTGATGTATAAGCGGGGTCTAGCCTTGCTTTTAGCTCACGACATCGCACGGATCTCATGGGTTGGCACTATGGGCGGTAGAGAGTTAAGGTCTCCTTTCCATGTTATGTTCGTGGAACTTGGATGGAGTAAACGAGTGTCTAAGAAACGTATCGTACCGTTTAGTGTCCTGTGCACCTTTTGAGATCTTTGTATACTCGTTAATGAAACTATATATGCCCTTTAGGAACTAACAATGCCCTTTTGTGTGTACTGCGGCATTCAACCTTTTATGTAACCATGTATGTCACTATGAATGTTGGACATGTATGTTATGATTCATTATTTATATATCTTTGGCTATTTTCTATTATGTGTGACGCATGACATTAAGATTTTCGATATGAAAACTAACCCGAGCATAACATAGCATGTACGAAGTTGAAACATACCAAGAAAGTATCCAATACGAGCGAGGAGGTAAAGGGACCTCCAACGACACTAATCGCAATCAACGAGATGCTTTAAATCATATGATAGATATGATGCAACAACGAGTAACAAGTAATGGAACAACAACAAGAAGTTCATGCGGAGCGAGATGAGACGACTCTTGGCCATGCATCAACAACCCCCACCTCTACCACCTCAACAAAGGAATGATGCAATGGAGAGGTTTCACAAGATGAATCCTCGGGAATTCATCGAGAGTGTTAACCCATGATAGTGGAGGAATGGATTAAGTTCTTAGAGGCAATATTTGAATACTTACAATTTACCACAATGAACGAGTGTTATGTGTTATCTTTATGCCGACTAAGAATGCCCGCACATGGTGGGAGAGCACATGACTAATAGTAGACGTGCCTATTTTAACTTCGGAAAGATTTAAGGAAGTCTTCTACAATAAATACTTTACCGCGGACGTGAGAGATAAGAAAAATCAAGACTTCTTAGAACTAAAACAAGATGAAATGTTGATGGGCGAATATGTA